AAGATCATCTCAATAGCTGCAGAAAAGGCTTTTGATAAAATCCATTATCTCTTCATGTTAAACAAACTCTCAACAAACTAGGCATTAAAGGAACATACTTCAAAATAATAAGAGCCATCTATGAGAAACTCACAGCCAACATAATACTTAGTGGGCAAAAGCTGGAGACATACTCTTAAAAACCTCAGCAAAGTAAAGATGCCCTCTCTCACCACTCCTAATTAACATAGTACTGGAAAACCTGGCTAGAGCAATCAGGCAGGAGAAAGAAATAAAAGGTATCCAAATAGGAAGAGAGGAAGTCAAATATCCCTTTTTGCAGATGATACGATTCTATGCCTAGAAAACCTTATAGTCTTTGCCCCAAACTCCTTGATCTGGTAAACAACTTCATCTGATAAAAAAAACTATTTTTTCAGGATACAAAATCAATGTACAAAAATCACTAGCATTCTTACACACCAGCGACATCCAAGCTGAGAACCAAATCAAGAATGCCGTTCCATTCACATTAGCCACAAAAAGAATAAAATACCTAGGAATACACCTAACCAGAGAGGTGCAAGATTTCTACAATGGGATAAAAAACATTGCTCAATCTAATCAGAGATGACACAAATAAATCAAAAAACATTTCATGCTCATGGATAGGAAGAATCAATATTGTTAAAATGGCCATACTGCCCCAAACAATTTACAAATTCAGCGGTACTCTTATCAAACCACCAATGACATTCTTCACAGAGTTAGAAAAAAACTGTTTTACAATTCATATAGAACCAAAAAAGACATTGAATAGCCAAGACAATCGTAAGCAAAAAGAACAACCTGGAGGCATCACATTGCCCAACTTCAAACTATAGTATAAGCCTACTGTAACCAAAACAACATGGTACGGTACAAAACAGACACATAGATCATTGGAACATAATAGAGAACCCAGAAATAAGGCTGCATACTTTTAACCATGTGATCTTCAACAAAGTCAACACAAACAAGCAATGGGGAAAGGACTCCCTTTTCAATGAATGGTGCTGGGATAACTGGCTAGCCATATACAGAATATTGAAACTGGATCCCTTCCCTACACCATAAGCAAACATAAAGTCAATATGGATTAAAGACTTAAATGTAAAAGTGAAAACTATAAAAATCCTGAAAGTTTACCTGGAAATTACCATTCTGGATATACAAAGTGGCAAAGATTTACAATCAACAGAGTGAAGAAGCAAACTACAGAATGGGAGAAAATATTTGCAAACATTTATCTGATAAGGGACTAATATCCTAAATGTATAAGGAATTAAAACAACTTTATAGCAAAAACACAAATAACCTGATGTTTAAAAAATGGGCCAAGGACCTGAATAGACACTTTTCCAAAGAAGATATACAAATAACAGGTATATGAAAAATTCTAGACATCATTAATCATCAAGGAAAGGCAAATCAAAACTACAATGAAATATTACCTCATACTTGTTAGAATGGCTTTTGCTAACACACACATATACACGCGCACACACACACAGACACACACACATACCCCAAAGGGATAACAAGTGTTGGCCAGGATGTGGAGGAAAGAGAGCTTCTGTACTCTGGTGGTGGGAATGTCATTATGGCAAACAGTATGGAAGTACCTCAAAAAATTAAAAATAGCACTACCATATCATTCAGCAATTTCCACTTCTGGGTTTATATCCAAAGGAAATGAAATCAGTATGTTTAAGAGATATTTACATTCCTATGTTCATTGCAGCACTATTCACAAGAGCCAAAATACAGAATCAAGCTAAGTATTTGTCTATGGGTGAATGGGATTGACCTAAGTGTTCATCTGTGGATGGAAGAAACTGTGGTATATATACACAGTGGAATACTATGCAGCCTTAAAAAAGAAACTCCTGTCATTTGTAATAACATGGAAGGTCCTGGAGGACAAGTACTGCATTATCTCACTTATACGTGAAATCTGAAGTAACAATCAAACTCCTAGAATCAGATAATAGAATGGTGGTTACTAGGGGCTGGGTGGGGAGGGATGTCAGAGAATGGGTAGATGCTGTTGAAAGAGTACAGAGTTTTAGTTTAGGCTGGTCACAGTGGCTCATGAGTATAATCCCAGCACTTTTGGACGCCAAGAGAGGTTCACTTGAGGGCAGGCATTTTATACCAGACTGGGCAACATAGTGAGACCCTGATTCTAAAAAAATATTATCCAGATGTGGTGGTACATGCCTATAGTCTTAGCTACCTGGGGGGCTGATGTGGGAGGCTCACTTGAGCTCAGCAGTTTGAGGTTACAGTGAGCTATCATTGTGCCACTGTACTCCAGCCTGGGTGGCAGTGAGACCCTGTCTCAAAAAAACAAAAAAGTTTTAGACAGGAGGAATAAGTATCTGGAGATATAACATGATTATTATTATTAATAATAATCTGTAGTATAATTGAAAATTGCTAAGAGAACAAACTTTAAATGTTCTCATCACAAAAATAAGTATATATACGATATGATGACTATGTGAATTAGCTTGACTTAATATTTCTACAATGTGTACATGTATCAAAACTTCATGCATATCGTATGTATATACAATTTGTCATTTGTCAATTAAAATAAATTTTAAAAACTGTTGTATACCTCAAAAATGTATATATTTTTTGCCAATTATATGGCAATAAAGCTGGAAAAGCCATTTTCTGTCTCTATGTATCAATCTGTCAGAACATGGAGGAGTTGGGGACAGTAACAAAATGCCTTGTATAAAAAGTAACATAAAAAATTAGGAAACAGGAAAAAATGGCATAAATAATAATATTTTAGTGCTAGCAATAAATCTAAGAACATCCTCTATTAAAAGAAGAAAGTGTATGATTTGGGCTGAATTCAGCTTGCAGGAGAACTTGACTAACAAAGAACAATTAAAGCAAAAGGATAGGTAAATATGTGTAAGTAAACACCAGTGTAAGATAACATTTCACTTACTAGTTTCTCCGTTTAACTTTCTTCTGAATTGTCCTTCCCCCAACCTTTTACTTGAATACATTTACATTTCTCTGTGTGTTTTTCCTAAGCTGCTGGGTGATTTTTCACTTAAGATTTTATTTTTTACTGATATAAAAACATGTTTCCAGGATCTTTGCATTAGGTTGGATCTGAATTTCATTTTGAGGTTTTAGTCTTTGACTCTCCATGTTAAAAAGACTAGTTTTGCACTGAAATGGTGCTTTTGGTGCTTTAGTAACGTTTGTACTCCAGTGTAGTGTGCTTACTATGTGCCAAACACTGTAATGCATATTAGGGATCCAAAATAATAATTTGAGACTTGAACATGTTAAAACCTTGAACAACAGACTTCCTTTCCCCCCATGTAAAATAAAATAAATGTAGTGGCAAAAGTTTGCAAGGCAAGTGGGTCTTTCTCTTTCTCATAAGACAAATAGTCTTTATGAGATACTTTAAATTTACCATTTAAAATATGGGGGAGAGTGGCTACTGGTTTGTAATTCTCTTGCTTTTTCTTCTCTGCCTCTCGGTGTATTCTTAGTTTTGAGATTATCATCATAGCAGCCCATAGAAGCTTTTCGATATTATCTTGGAAAATTTCCTGTCTACCTTCACTTTCTTTTAGTTTATAAGCGAACTGATTTTATTAATGTATTTATTTACTAAAACAGAGAAGAAATCCAAAAGAATTTTAAAAAGAAGAGGTTAAAGATAGGGTTGAGTTAAATAGGTCTCTATTTAAACTGATATAAATAGCTAAGTACAGGTATTTTTGGCTAGCCCTGATTCAGTTTGATATGGTTTGTCGCAGTGTATTTGTGTTTTGTTGTTGTTCTTGTCATTTCTCTCTTGAACCTATTGGCCACTCGTTTCCCTTTCTGCCTCACCTTGCTTACCAGCAGGTCTGGAGTGGGTATTCCCGCCCCACCAAGTAACTTGAGCTTTCCTGCCTCCCCTCCCAGCTGGGCTCTGCATCCTCAGTTGCCATGTATGTGGAGCCATGACTGCTGTTTCATTCCTTCCTTTTCGTCCACTGTACCAAAGTTTCCCTTTTATATTTTAAGATCCGTATAATGTCCACATTGGTTGTGTTTATCTGCATATGGATATGAAGGCTTTTTGTGAAGACAGATTTTTTTTTTTTTTTTTTTTTTTTTGAGATGGAGTCTCACTCTGTTGCCCAGGCTGGACTGCAGTGGTGCGATCTTGGCTCACTGCAACCTCTGTCTCCCAGGTTCAAGTGATTCTCCTGCCTCAGCCTCCTGATTAGGTGGGATTACAGGTGTGCACCACCATGCCAGGCTAATTTTTGTATTTTTAGTACAGACAGGGTTTCATCATGTTGGTCAGACTGGTCTCGAACTCCTCACCTTGTGATCTGCCTGCCTCGGCCTCCCAAAGTGCTGGGATTACAGGCATGAGCCACTGTGCCCGGCTGAAGACAAATTTTCATTTAGCCCTTGTTATTGATGCTGCCATCTCATTTACTTGAATGATCCACATTTGGGAAAGAGGTAGACATGGTGGGTGGGGAGGGGTGGCAGTTTCCTTCCAAACTTAGTAAATGGTTATACAAATTATTCCCAGCTGTAGAAGAGAAGACCATTTCATCATACACATTATGTGTTCAGGGAATATAGACACATTGTTTATTGTATTCTCTTGAATCTTGTAAGATTTTTCTTTGATTAAAATATAATTTAAAAAATTAAAAATGTTCCTTTTTTTCATTTTCTTTTAACTTATGAATTTATTTTAAAAGAATTCACCTGCGGGTAGACTCAAGAAATTCACTTTGAACAGAAAATAGGTATTTGAGTATAGTATTGAAATCATTCTATGGTAGACCAAGTTTCTATGGTGAAATATCTAAATCTAATTTAATATTAAAAATGGATTTGTGATCACTGACTATTTCATTGTTTGTATGTCTCTTTTAAGTAAACTTTACTTGTCTTCCAATAAATTTTCCATGTTCTTGTCATGGCAGGCTCATGACTTGCAGAGTGAACTTGATAAAGGAAAAGAAGATACTCAAAAGAAAATTCATAAATTTGAGGAAGCTTTGAAGTGAGTAAAATTGCAATGCATTTGATTTAAAACTACCCTTTATTAAACTGTGAGCCAAATTAAGTAACTGGGACCTAAACACTATCTTTTTATAAGAGCTTTGCTATGGATTAGTTTGCATCGGTTTCCCATCACAAATCTCTATCTTCAGGATTTTATTACTAGCCAGTAATTTTTTTTTTAAAAAAAGAAAAATCAGTTCAGCTGTTTTTAAGTGATAGGAATGTAAGAAAATAGAACTTAGTGGTTTCAGATGCTTTCTCCCTCTTAAACGAAAACAGATTTTTTAAAAAATGAGATTTTGGTCTTAGGACATTTAGAAATTCCTCTGTAGATTTTGTTGAGCAATTTGAGAAATGAAATGTTTCAGTTGTTATATTTGAAAATGGATTACTACACAGGCATTATTTAGGAAAGGCTTTGTCTTATGATATACTTGGTATTTTAGTGTTTTAGTGTACTTAGGCATACATTAAAATGTTAGATTTTATTTGTCTTCTCCATTCATTTACTAAACTGATTGGGTCCTCCTATTACTAGATTTGACCTTGCAGTTTTTAGCTGAAAAAACATTGATTCATTTAGATAACTTAAAACGTAAATTATTGTGAGGTCTGAACTCAGTAAATATTGAGTTCCCACCGTGTGTCAGCCAGTGTGTAGTACGTTCCCATAGAACCATACAGTCTAGTTGGAGAGATATTCAAGACATTTGGCAATTTGGTACAGAATGATAAAAGTTTAATTGGAGGAAGGTCAATAGGTTGACTGACCCAAAAAAGTGATTTAAGAGGAGAAGCTTTCTTGAGCTTAATATACCTAGCTAACTCCCAGATAATCAGTAATTTTATTTTACTTGCTTCTCTAAACCTCCAAATAAGAATGACTTACAGAAAGGCCAAAAAGAATACCCAAGATCAAATACATCGAATTCTGCCTGGGAAGATGGCATGACCATTCCTTCTCTTTCACTTTGCTTATTAATAAAATACATTGGCTCAGTTCCTGAATAGAACATTTTAATGTGATTTGTAAACTATGGCATCACAAGATACCCATTTTTTTAATCTACAGAGGGACTTATTTGTTTACCTTGTCAATATGAATTAGATGAAATCAGGAGAGAACAATAATATTCATTAGGTATTAAGTTAAATAAATCTCGAACAAAACTAGGGCAGTCTTGCTTTTTTTTTTTTTTTTCCCCCCCGAGATGGAGTCTCACTCTGTCACCCAGGCTGGAGTGCAGTGGCGCGATCTCAGCTCACTGCAACCTCTGCCTCTTGGGTGCAAATGATTCTTCTGCCTCAGCCTCCTGAGTAGTTGGGATTACAGGCACATGCCGCCATGCCCGAATAATTTTTGTATTTTTTTTTTTTTTTAGTAGAAACTGGGTTTCACTGTGTTGGTCAGGCTGGTCTCGAACTCCTGACCTCGTGATCCACCTGCCCTGGCCTCCCAAAGTGCTGGGATTACAGGTGTGAGCCACCACACCTGGCCCAGTCTTGCTTTTTTTCTCTTTAAAATAATTAACAGCTTTCTTCATGAAGATTTCTCCATGAACTTCATGAAATGTACCATACTTTTCCTCTCTTGTTCTACTTTGCCTTTGTTCTTTTTAAATGTCTTTATCCTTTCTTCATTTCTTCATTGGTTTATTGATTTATATTTTATAAGTCTAAGGAAGAGGTAATTTCTTTAAATCAGCGGTCCTCAAATTTTTTGGCACCAGGGACTGGTTTCATGGAAGACAAGTTTTCCATGGATAGGGGGTGGGTGGGGAATGGTTTTGCGATGAAACTGTTCCACCTCAGATCATCAGGCATTAGATTCTCATAAGGAGTGTGCAAGCTAAATCTCCTGTTGGCGCAGTTCACAGTAGGGTTCACGCTCCTGTGAGAATCTAATGCCGCTGCTGATCTGTCAGAAGGCGGAGCTCAGGTGGCAATGCTGGCTCACCCAGGGTTCACCTCCTGCTGTGGCCTGGTTCCTAACAGGCCATGGACCTGTATGGTGCTTGGGGATTTGGGACCTTTGCTTTAAATAGCGGTAAGACAACAAATATTTGTTTAGTACCTACAATGTTTACATGTTGTAATATCATACTAAAGGAAATAAAAGGTTGAGAAGACAGCTCAGGATGTAATGATGTTCTTAATGATTTTCCAGTCCAGGTTAGGCATTGGAAGTACTTAGAATAACTAGGTATTAACTTGTTGACCATAACAGCAATTAAAGTTCAGAAAGATCTTTTCAGTGTAATATTAGGAGTTTATGTATGTAACAATATAGTATCTTTTAGTGGTGCTGGTAGATAGTCAAAGAGCCCTGAAGTTTCTGCAGTTTTCTATATATAATATAATCATTTTCTGAGCCAAGTAACCCTCTTTAGGTATTTCAAAGGTCTTTGCCAAAATACTGAATTTTACTTGGAGTTAAAAGAAGATATTTTAGAATGCTAAATAAAATTATTCTGTAGATTGTTTATCCATCTTCCATATAGTTACTACTTTCATTTTGGCTAAATGTCTGAATGATCTTAACAGTACAGTCCCCAGCATAGTAATAATAATGTAGTCTGAAAGTAAAAGGCTAAATTATTGTGAGGTCTAACTTCAAAGTAAACAGCATAAGTTGGCTGTTTCCCCAAAGGAGAATATTGTGACTGCTACGGCTTTTGAATCTAAGAATAGCATTAGATCTGCTTGGCCCAGAGACAGTTCCATTTTGCTACAAGACAGCTTTGTGATGTAGAAATTTGCCTTTACTAATAACAAATTTTTTTCCTTACAAATACACAAAGATGGAAAATTTCAGTTTTAGAATGTAGTGCTATTCATTCATGTAGTTATTCTTTCTTTCATTTAATAAGGGTTTATTTCTTCTGTGTGTGTTGAACATACAGTAGAGAGGCTATCAGAGAAAACAGGGATATATAAATATAAATTTGTATGCGTATGAAAACATGATACATGCTGTATAAGGCAAAATACTTTAAAAACATGAGGTAATGGCAAGATGGACTAGTAATGGGAGGCATCTGAGAGAAGGAAAAGTCTTTAACTGAGTTGTGAAGGAAAAGTGGAGAATAAATTGTCCTGGGAGTTTGGTGCCGTCCTCTCCTGTCTCTGTAGAGATGCTGGCCTCTACTAGTTTTGTCTCTCTCTATTTCCCAGCTCTCTTTCTTCATCTTGTTACATGACCAGATATACTCTTTCCTTTTCTCCTTTCCTTTTTTCCTAAGGACTTCTAAGTGTCAAGTTCTTTGATTCTCTCAGATTATAGAATTTTGCGACCATGTTAGGGATAGTCTTGTGAATTGGGGTGAAATATAATGTGTTTGAGATGTTAATGGAAAAGTTGAGTGGCTTTATTCTGGCATAGTAATTGTATCAAAGACAAAAAGGCTGGGAACTGTTCTATGAGAGGATGATGTACTTGATATTTATACTCTCTCCAAGCAATTGAAACTGTCAACTCATCTTTGGGTTAGAGCTCAAGTTGATATTTCAGAACCTATCATTATTTAAGAAGGAGGATTGTAGTTAGCATTTTTCACTTTAAATGCCAACTCCTTAAAGCTCATTTGCCTGTTGCTATTGTTTCTAAGAAATGAAACTAGTTTAATGTTGTTGCCTTACTATTCTTTTCAATTTTTGTTCTACATATGTATTAAACACTTTTGCTTCCTATTTGGTTTTTGCTGTAGAAAATAATTTTAATAACCTCCCGAAAGGAAAAGTTATCTGAAACTTTAATGGTATGAGTTGTACATATTCACTTTTCATTTTTCAAAGATAAGCTATTAAAGCATATGGGGAACTAAATAGACTCTAATGAAAGGAAGATGATGGTATAAAACCAAATAATTGTATTTTTGAAGGAGCTAAAATTCATAAACAACAAATGTGGATATTATAAGTTTGGTTAATTTTTAAGTTTTTGGTGCTGTAAACATAATAAAGCATTATTTTGAGACAGTGTATAGTCTATTTTAAAGTATTCGATTAAAACTTCCAAAACCATCTTTTTGATTAACTTTTTCAAACTCTGTTTTTATAATAAAATACAAAAATGCCTTAACATATTTATTCTGATATTTTAAACTCTTTCTGCATTGTCATAAACATTCTAAATATTTTTAACCCTGACACTAATATGGACAAGCTTTCTATTTTTCAGTTAGTATTACATATATGTACAGTAGTAGTTCACTAGAATATGAAAAGAAATACAACCTACAGAATGGGAGAAAATATTTGCAAACTATGCATCTGACAAAAGTCTAATATCCAACATTTATAAGGAACTTAAACAAATTTACAATTAAGAAAACCCATTAAAAAGTGGGCAAAGGACATGAATAGACTTTTCAAAAGAAGACATACGTGTGGTCACCCATCATATGAAAAAACGCTCACGCACACCACACTGGTTTGCTGCCACCACTGCCACCATCATGCCAGCCCCTCAGGTCTCCCCGAGGCTGGGTGATGCTCCAGAGTAGGAGATAAGCCCATTTGGGAGCAGATTGGATCCAGCTTCATTCAACATTGCTACCAGTTATTTGATAAAGATAGAACCCAACTAGGCGCAATTTACATTGATGCGTCATGCCTTACGTCGGAAGGACAACAGTTCCATGGGAAAGCCACCGCTGTGGAGAAGTTGTCTAGCCTTCCGTTCCAGAAAATCCAGTACAGCCTCATGGCATGGGACTATCAGCCCATGCCACACAGCTGCATCATCAGCACGGTTGTGGGTCAGCTTAAGACGTGAAGATCCCATCATGGGGTTCCACCACATGTTCCTATTAAAGAACACTAACGATGCTTGGGTTTGCACCAATGACGCGTTCAGACTTGCCCTGCACAACTTTGGCTGACCTCCTCTCAGCCAAGCACGCTGTTTCCTCCTCCGTCCTCTTCCCAATACTATTCCCACTCCTCCAGATGCTCCAGATATCCTGCACAAATGAGCAGCGCCGCGGTGAGAGTGGG